GGTAAGTTAATGTTCAAGAAAAAAATATTAATTTTTATTAAAGTGTTCTATTATTTTATGTTAACGATTACTCATTTATTTCAGCCCTTTGTGTTCAGCATATTTCTATCAAAATAAACCTACATTTCTATGAAAATTGAAGCTTTTGTTTTTTTGCAGTGTACATAAACTTAAACCTTGTTTATTTGGCCCATGTTAGCCCTGAGTTTGACATGCTTGCTCTACACTCTACTTGCTTATCTCATGTTTACCCCATCCTATGAATTTTGCATATGAACAACAAGTATAAATTAACAAGCTACTAATCTATAGTTAAAAACTTTTTATGTTTTGCCTATTTTTATATTCAACCTTATTTATTTATAGAATTGATATTCTCAAAACAATGCACATTTCAAAGGCTTCTTGTAAAATCACATCATAACATCATCACCATTTCCTATAATCATCAATTCGTAAATGAAAGAATGTTGCAACACCGAAAATAGGAAGGATATCATCTCAACATATCATTTGCCTTATTTTTCTCCTTTTGCTGAGGAAAACTTTATCATAGACTGGATCCAGTCCATATTTCAGCATTTAGGAGCTGCTCCTTTAGAGCAGTCATCAGGGATTTAGCTCTAACCACCTATGATCTGAATATCAAAGCAAACTGTCAAATCCAGGTAACTGGATTATATGTGTCCATAAGCATAGGCAAAAATCTGCTACTCCCACCAAAACTAACTGATATCTCTCTGTTGTTTTTCTAGAAGGCCCTTGGATATATCTACTTCTCTGATATCATCCATATCTTGCCTCAGACATAAAGAAACAATCAAATCAGTGGCCTCAGAAGAGATCTCATATGAGTTAAGTATTTAGTACTTTTATAAAGTGTAGTTCCAATGGCTTGCCCTGAATTGCTACTGGTTTCTCTGTCTCTAATCTGTTGGGATTCCAGTTTACTTTCCATAATACAATGAAGGTGCTGTTTATAAAATGTAATTCTAACCCTTTCATTCCTTGCTCCCCTGCTCTCAGGGTCTTTAGAATACAGTACAAGCTCCTTAGAATGCCTACAAAAATCTGTAATGATGTGGCCCTTACCTACAAGTCAGCCAAATCTCATCCCTTTCCACCCAACAGCAGTTATCAGACTACCACCTGTTCTAGAAAGTCTATGTACATGCCCTTTCCTTAGCCTGCAGTGGCCTCCACCCAGCTCAGTATCATTGGCCACATTACTGCTTAATGTTTCTAAGCTCAGGCTCAAGCAGTGTTTTCTCTGTGAAGCTCCTGTCCTCACCCCCAGAAATTTAATCATGCCCTCTCCTGAGTAACTATTATATCTGGAATATATTTTTATTTTATTTCTCACATTTCATTGCAATTATTTATTTACCTGTTTATTTCCCCTAATCTTATATAATAAAAGCCTAATATGCTAAGTATCCAGTCGTCAGGTTGACTGTTCAACCAATCAAAGCATAATATGCTAATGATATGCTAAGGCCGCTCAACTGCTCACTATGATATGCACTGACCATCAGGGGGCAGACGGTCAACTAGTCAACCAGTCGCTATGACATGCACTGACCATCAGGGGGCAGATGCTCTGACCAGTAGGTTAACTTGCTGCTGGGGTCTGGCTGATCAGGACTGAGCGAGACAGGCCAGACTGGCCCTCCGCGGTCCCTCCCCAGCCGGCCAACCTCCTGCATCTCCCCAGCCCCGATCATGTACCAGTGAGATCTCTCAGCCTGGCCTGCACCCTCTCACAATATGGGACTCTCGGGGGATGTCGGAGAGCTGGTTTTGGCTTGACAGCAGAACGACCGGTCACTATGACACACACTGGCTACCAGGGGGCAGACGCTTAATGCAGGAGCTGCCCCCTGGTGGTCAGTGCGCTCCTGCAAGGGGAGCACCACTCAGCCAGAAGCCAGGCTCACGGATGGTAAGTGCAGCGGTGGTGGCGGGAGCCTCTCCCACCTCTGAGGCAACACTAAGGATGTCCTACTGATGGCTTAGGCCCACTCCCTAACTGTCAGTCGGACATCCCCCGAAGGCTCTCGGACTGCAAGAGGGTGCAGGTCAGGCTGAGGGACCCTCCCCTCCTGAGTGCATGAATTTCATGCACCGGGCCTCTAGTAAGCTATAAAATCTATAAAGCAAAGTTCCATTTATTTTTTTTGTTGTTAATTCTCACCCGAGGAAATTTTTTCCATTGATTTTTTTTTTTTAAAGAGAGTAGAAGGAAGGGAAGGAGGGCGTAAGGAAGGGAGAGAGACCATTGTGGGAGAGAGACATTGATTGGTTGCCTTCTACACGCACTCTGACTGGGGATGGGGATTGAACCTGCAACCCAGGCATGTGTCCTTGACTGGGAATGGAACCTGAGACCCTCCATGTGTGGGCTGACACTCTAACCACCGAGCCATACTGGCTATTTATCTTAGAAAAGTATCTATATTAAATAGGACCAATAAATGATTAGTAAGTGAATAAGTGAATAATAGTTATCTGAAACACTAGAATAAGTAAGCCATCCAGTTTTCAACCAGCAACCAAGTAATTCCTTAGCTTTTTATCTTTTATCAACTATATAAAATACTACAAAAATTTAGTCAGTGTTTATTACGTATTTCAGGATACTGTACACCCTTTTGTGGAAGTTTCCTTTCAACACACTGTGTACCAAACCAGTACTGCAAGTGGATCTCATCCATGCTGGAATGAGGAAATTAAAGTAGATTTTGTGTAAGTTGGAGTCCATTTTTTCTTAGCTCCTAAAAAAAGAACAATAAATAATTATTTTTGTGCCATTTATTAGAAATAATGATTGAGATAAGCTTTGCTTTTTAGGCTTTTAAATAATGAAATATCTCTTACATAGATATTAATATATATGATGTATATATAAATATAAGTTCTCAGGTAAAATGATAAAATGAACACCTGTATATCTACCTTCCATCTTAAAAAAGTAGATATTACCAATATTTTTGAAGGCTTCTCTATGCCAATTACTAATTATCTCTTCCTTCTCTCCCTCCAGAGGTAACAACTATAAATTAGGTATTTATGCCTTGTGTCTGATATCTGCTTACCTGATCTTTCTTACTGTTTGAATGTGAAAAGGAGTATTAATTGAAAGGGAAATAAATATATTATATTGTATAATATGTTAAGTAATTAGTATATAAAAGTATATTTTGGTTTAAAAGTTTGTAAAGATAAAATTTGGTTGTATGTGTAGAAATATTTGTGTATTAGACATTAGAGTTAGAAGAAATATACTGTATTAAATAAATAGATTTAGGATAACATGAAATAGTCAATAAGATAAACTTATATGTAAATGCTGTAGAGTAGTTGCATTCTTGAAATTATAGCAATGAAATAAGCCAAGAACACATTTAGAGCACAACAAGGTAGATCAGAGGGTTCAGCTAAGCCAAAGTCATTCAACTACTATTTTTCATTGCCTCGGATACTCCATTCTCTTCTCCACATGACATTTTAATGAATAAAAATCATGTACAAATGGGGTAGATAGTAATAATAAGTAAATAGTAATTAGCCTTGTGAGATCTATTTTGGAGGAGAAATTGTGAAATTTGAGGAAATTTTGAATAGAATACAAAATGCAAGATAGTGTAGGATTTGAGTGATTTAAAGGCCGTACTAAGTTGACACACTCAAAAGTGTCTTGAGGATGACAGTTATCATCTCTTCTGCTAATATCTTATATAATAAAAGGCTAATATGCAAATTGTCCCCTCGGGAGTTTGACCACTCGCTATGATGTGTGCTGACCACCAGGGGGTGGCATGGAATGAAGGAAGGCCCTGATCTCCGGCCACGCCTAGGGACCCTACCCATGTACCAATTTCGTGCACCAGGCCTCTAGTAGTATAATAAGTATGCATTGCCTTTTCTACCCTGTCTTAGACGTTGCAACATGAAAGGAAACTCTTGAAGGAGCAGGGTAAGGAAGCCAGCTTATCACTTAGAAATATAAGGAACATTCAACTTTAAAATTATTCTCTAAACTCAATGAACATTTTTCAGTTGTCAGTGTATCTGTAGGTCTCAGAAAGTTATACAAGCTATTGGAGATCCTTTGAAATAGTAGCTGTTTTCTTAAGCAACAAGCTTCAACAAATAATGTCAGTGGCAGTTGGTATAGTGAAAAGATCCTGACCTTTGAGGCAGTTAATTGGGTTCAGATGAGGGCTCTGTCACTTGCTGATGACATTAGCTTGAGCAAGTTATTTAGCTTCTCTGAGCTGTTAGAAGGTTGATTGAGATTTGATGTACAGGCTGGAGCTGATAGTTCAGTGCTTGTGATATACTACATTATTCTTTCAGCTACCTCCAAAAATTTCTCCAATCAAGTAAGCCATCCGCAGACAGTTTGAAAAATTAAATGCACCCCACTATCCCAGTTTCTGGTTGGAGAAAATAAATACGGGAAAGAGAATAAGCTTAGGAAAGAGAGAGAGAGAGAGAGAGAGAGAGAGAGAGAGAGAGAGATAGATCAGTTGCCTCCTGTATGTGCCCCAATTGGGGATCAAATCTGCAAACTTTTTGATGTATGAGACAGTGCTCCAACTGAGCCACTCCACCAAGGCTAGTTGGAAAATCTTAATGCACCATACTTCAGATAATTTGTTTGCAATGGATGCCTCTACTAGGAAGTCTTTCTGCTTGACATTTCAACATTTTTATTCTTCACTCAGTTACCTTAAGAGATAAAAAAGATAAATAACAAAGCATGTACTGGCTTTAATGAAAGATAGCAGATGTCTTTAAAGCACATAGTTTTTTTCTTAGTTTACATGTTATAACAGAAAAGAACACAGGTGATTTAATAGTCCTTTATGAATAATGCTCTTATAAATTAAGCATCTAAATAAGTTTTTCTTATTTATAGCTCACCAGGACAAGATTATAGCTTCTCAAGTTTATCTAAAATAAAAGATAATATATATATCAACATTTTTGATGAAATGATTTTTGAAAAACATGAGGTAAAGTACAACAATTATAATTATGCTGAAATAATTCTAAGTTCTGACTGAATGAAGTCTAGTAACATATTTGTAAATTTGCTTTTAGATGCAATATTTATCTCTAACATTTTCTAAAAAGCATTTGGAGCAGCTTGGAATAAAATCAGACATATGACAAGACAGTTCAAAAATAACAGATCACAAACCATAAATAGAAGGAAAGGGGATAAATATAACAAGAATTTGGGAGAAGTAGATTTCTGCAATTGAACATTACATTAAAATGTGAGCTTCCTGGTAGCCAAGATAGAAAGATAAGCAAAAAATGGGTTGTATATTTTCCACCGTCTGATCAAAGAAAATATACTCCTTCTATAAAAAATAGCAAGTGATTCCTAAAACCCAGTTCTCTTCAATCTGACACTAAAAGTTATGAATGTCTTCCTCATAGATACAAGAAAGTTCCTAACACTGTGCCTAGTACCATAGCAAGCTCTAAAATGAATGTTAATTTCCTTCCTACTGAAGTTGACACTAAAAGTATAAAGATGCATATCCATTATACCTTCTCTCTTGGGGCTCTGATTAAATACTTTAATATAAATGTCTAGCAAATTATATGGCAACACTATTGAAGGAGCAATTAATTCTACATGGAGGGATTGGGGATTAGGCTCAGAGAAGTTGAAGCATATCTTGATGCAATTCTTATCAAGATGCCAATGGCATATTTCACAGAACTAGAATTAATAGTCCAAAAATTTATATGGAACCACAAAAGACCCAGAATAGCTACAGCAATCTTGAGAAAGAACAACAAAATTGGAGGAATCATGCTACTTGACATCAAATTACACTACAAGGCCATAGTAATCAAAACAGCATGGTACTGGCATAAGAACAGACATACAGTATAGATCAATGGAACAGAATAGAGAGCCCAGAAATAAACTCATGCCTTTTTGATCAATTAATATATGACAGCCCAGCCAGTGTGGCTCATTGGTTGAACATTGACCTATGAACCAGGAGGTGATAGTTTGATTCCCAGTCAGGGCATATGCCTGGGTTTCGGGCTCAATCCCCAGTAGGGCATGTGCAGGAGGCAGCCAATCAATAATTCTCTCTCATCATTGATGTTTCTATCTCTCTCCCTCTTCCTTCATCTCTGAATTCAACTTCAAGTTTAAAAACAGTCCCCTAGATTAAAGAGCAAGTACATGAGGGAGTTGCAGCCTCCCATTCAGTATGAAGATGTTCACACCAATGCCAACCAGGATTGCTGCCTCCTGCAGGTCACCACCCTAAATTTTTTTATTTTCTTTAGTGAATTTTTTTTTAAGTTTGCTGCCCTGAGCATATCTACTATAATAAAAATATTGCATTAAAAATGTAAATAGCCATACATATGTCATAAACTCCACAACAGGTCATTATTTTGCTTTAATTTTTAAAGAATCAAAAAGTGAGAAGATATTTTCTATTTATCCTTTGTTTTATTTTTAAAAGAAAGAATAATTTTTATACTTACAAGTTTTTGAATTATTCATCACATGATATAAAATATTATTTATTTTAACAGGATCACTGTTTCAGGAGCTGCAGTGGTCATTCATATGTAAGAAAGAATTGGCTTGGATCCATTGTCTTCCCTTTCTCTGCTCTTCTGCAACAATCTGAGGTAATAGAAAATGATAGTTTGCTGATTTTCTAAGTTTTTACCTCTCGCCAATAGAAACATTTACTGATGGGGGGTGGGGAGTGGGAATCACATTCTGTGATTGGCAGGTTGTTTGATCAGTTAAAGTGATCTTGTATTTGAGAGCCATTGGGGTGTTGGAGTGTGTGAAAGTTTTAACTGTCTCTAGAACAGAAGACACAAATTTTTTCTTAAAGCTTTAAAGAGTGTATTGATAAAGACTGGGACAGCTAGCCTTAGGTCTTAAAGCAACATTTATATTTGCATGTAATAGTTTTATAGGACCAGATTCACAAATGTTCTGATCAGTGCTGCTGCTTTGTAAGCATGAGTTCCAGGAGCTTCAGCTCCTCAGCATTGTGTGTCATTCATGGTGAGACTGATGCTTGGTAGGTGTGTCTGTTATATTCCCAGAGGGCCCTGCTGCTGGATTATGTAGCAAGGATATGCCTACCTGGCCAGCAAAATATAAAAACTCCAGCCTAGACTCTGTTTGGAGCTCTGTTACTTACTTACAGAGCTATGCCATATATAGAAGGTTCAGAAATGATTTCTCTATCTTAGTGGAGTTCACTGTCCATAGAAGAAAACTCACATTTCAGTACAACCTGATACTGCTGTAGGGCTTTGGTAGGGGCATGAGATAGATACAATGAGACAGTAGGGAGCACCTTACTCTTTCTGGTTTGGAGCAGGAAGAAGGGGTTGTTCAGAGGGGTCGGGTGGGTAAGAGGGGAATGAGGAGGAGAATGAAAGAGCAGGGAAGTATTTACAGAGGAGATAACTTTTGAAGTGAGTCCTAAAAATGAGTTTGTCAAGCAAACAAGGGCATTTGACTCAAGGATTTCTATGTGTATTAATTATGTGTGATCCTATGCCATGGAAAACCTAACAGTGGCTGATGTAACGGGTCTATTTATTTCGCTCAAAAAGAAGTCTAGGTGTCAGAGCAGCAGCTCAAGAATCCAAGTTGCTTTTGTGTTTCTGTTCCACTGCCCTTATCATGTGGCTTGCATCCTTATAACTGCAGATCGTTCACTGCACCTCCAGCCTCATATTCATGTTGCAGACAGGAGTCAGGGTGAAGCACCAAGTGGCAGTGCCTGTATTAGTAAAACAGACACTTCACCAGAAAATCCTGGCAGACTTCTTTATTTTGTTGATGCGACTTGACCACTTGTCATGTTGCCACCTAGAAACTGTTGGTAAGAAAGGAGAAGAGAATGGATGTTAGGGAGGAGAGTAGAAATGTCTGCATAATATGAGGGAGCATGCTGCAAATTTATGCTGCAGATAAAGAGCAACAGAGATTTAAGTTATTGGGAGGAACATGGCTTCCTACACTCATAAATCCCTGCAGATGTTTCTCAGTCTCAGGTCAGACTCCAGGATAGACAGGTGGTTCAGAATGTGAGCTTCAAAGGTGGGCAAACCTGAGTTGTATTCCTGGCTCTATTACTCATCCGTTGTGTTGTGATCTTACATAAGTGACGTAAATTCTTTGGGCCTCAGTTCCTTATCTACAAAATAGAGAGAAGAGCTATATCTTTTTTTTTTTAATTTTTTTTAATTTATTTATTTTTTATTACAAAGGGTATTACATATGTGTCCATTTTTCCCCCCCGCCCTAGACAGTCCCCTAGCCTCCCCTATTCCCCAGTGTCTTATGTCCATTGGTTATGCCCATATGCATGCATACAAGTCCTTTGGTTGATCTCCCACCCCCCTACCTCCCGCCCCCGAACCCGTGATGATTATCTTAAGGTAAATTCCAAAAACACTTCTAGAAAGGTCATAGCCTTTTATGTTTCCTGAAACAGTTTGCAGAAGTCTATTTCTCAATACCTTTCCCAAATAGATTTTGTCAGTATATTTAGTCTCTGCCAATCTTCTAGGCATAAAAGTTTAATTTTGTTTAAAAAATATTATAAGTAAAGTATTTAAAAGTGTAAAATTTATGGTTTCTGTACCA